TGACTTGTGTTTTTCAAAAACCACGGGCTTACTGTTATAATGACCGATTCCCTAAAATTCCAGTTCTATACAATGTCCGCTACAGGCAAGAAAATTGGATTGCATCTTCCCCTACCCCAATGGGCTGTATACATCAAATATTGCATCAACCTAACAAATCATGAGGTACTCTACTATCCAGGAATGGTCACCTCAGGGCCACCCATTTGAACTTTTATTTCGAAAGAGCCGATAACACTGCAAGCATCACTCATTTAGCTTCAGAGTTTGTAATACCTGGAACTCTCGTGCACCTCAGGTTGTTTGTGCTCCAACCATCGATTCATTCAAGCCATGGCTTGATGAAATATTGAAACACCTAATGGATCTGTACCCGTGAGTGAACGTTAGAAGTTACTGTTTAATTGTTCCCGTTTTTACATGGAGAATCCATGTTGCAAAAATGATGAGTAGATTCAACGGCCATTGTTAGCGACAGGCAGCCATATCACCCAATGTCTCTGACCGTTAATTACAGTTATCCCGAGGTCCTCATCCAGGGAGCCCAACAACACCTACGTTACCCAGTATTCTGTTTGGAGTTTTCCTACCTTCATGCCAAGTCTTAGTTGGACCGCCCTTGACATTTTCCCATCCACTACCTGTCTTGTTGGACGTCACGCGCCGTTGCAACCTATTTGGTGACATGCACAATACATACCCCAACCAGCTTAATATGTGGAAGTCGATCACGTGCTCCAGTGGACAACCGCGATTGCCTAAAACTCTCCAGTTAAACTCAGCATTGCTCTTCCGGTTTCCCTACCAGACCCATCATCATTATCATTGTACAGCGTAATAAAGTGAAGCGAACTTCACTGATCGCTGCCAAACTCATATTGCATACAAGGTAAGTGATAATGTGTAAGGGGGACAAGGATTGGACGTATTCTTAGGGACGGGAAAATAAAGTGAACCTCTATGGTCAACACACCGGAGTGCACATTCCAGCTGTGGATAAATACTATTTCAATCATTCTGGTCTGATAAGAAGTGACAGCGTGATCACCATTGCTGTCGGTTCGCAGCCATGATCTTCAGTGTCTCCAACCATGCGGTTTTGGAGTCTTTTGGACCCCAACCCGGAAACCGAGAGACACCTACTCTACCTAATCGCTCTGTGCATTTCTTCATGCCTCGACTCCACGTCATCCGCTGGCCTCCACGTGGCTTTCTCCAGCCTGCAACAGCCACTGCGCGCTGTGGTAGGCGATCGTCGGACATACGCAAGACGTGTCCTAACCAACAAAACCTATTGAGCTAGATTCGATGTGATAGCGAGTTCTTGTTTGAGGTATTCCCAAACACCCGACGACATCTAAGTTACTAACCCGCTCACTTCATCCCACTTGGGCCAGACTACGTAGACATCGATTGTCGAACACTGCTAAGCGACGGATGTCTTCTACCCGCAAGTTCAAGGTCTCAACCGTACAGTAGAACTGATAGTACAGTGGCGCAGTATACGCGACTTTTCAACTTCAGTGAAACGCCGCCGCAAGTGTTTCAGTCCTGCGTATGCTGCTCGAGCCTTGGAAATGCGGGCGGTTATCTCCTTTGATTCTCTACCGTCGTTTGTCACGCAGCTACCTAAGTACGAGAAGCAGTGAACTACAGCTAATTCCTAACCGTCTGGTTTCAGAACGGAACTCGGCGACACCCAGTCTTGTAGCATCACTTTGCACTTTGAAGGTGCAAAGCACATGCCGAACGGAGCGACAGAACTTGTTAATCTGTCAAATGCTCTTTGCGCATCCTCCATAGATTCGAACAGGCAGACGATGTCGTCGGCGTACTCCAAATCGCACAGCTTTTCTCCAGCTGCCCATTCAATACCTACATTTTGGAGACCACTTAGTGTGTTCTCCAGTATTTCGTCTATGCCGAAATTGAACAAGAATGGCGAAAGGGTCAGATAAACGATGATCCGCCAACCGTGTTTGGTGGTTTTTTGTGACCGGTGAGTTGGAGAGTGAACTGCATCAACACTAAGCAAGGCATCGGGTGAGGCGAAGTGGAGGTCCATTTACTCGGATCGATTACTCCTCCACCGCTTTTTACCGACAGAAACGCCAATTCCAGTCGAACCCTCGACAAGGAGGACCAGGAGACTAAACTTCGTTTGGCCTTCCAGGCATGATTAGATCTCCTGGTTTGATAAAGCCATCCTGTGTAGCTCGTCGGGTCACAGAGGTACCTATTTTTATCCTGTTCTTTTAATGATCAAGTCTCTGCACCGTATAGCAGCACTGTGCGGACTGCTGTAGCATACACTCAACTCTTCACTGACAGCGGGAGTCGTGACCGCACCACAGATGTCTTAATTTGGAAACTGCTAATCTAGCCCTCTCTATACGTGCCAATACTTGATCTGTGACATGTCCGCCAGGTGAGATATGGCCTTGCAACTTACCTGGATGTTCGCTTACCAGAGCAATGTTGTCTACATACTGCAGGTCCGACAGTCTACCTCCTAAGAGTAAATCGCTGCCGCTCTCCACGTGCGAGGATAGGGCTGTCTCAAGATTTACATCTATGGCAGAATTAAACAGAAACAAAGAGAGAAGATAACCCTGGTAGACACTACTGTCTCTAGTGAACTCAGGCGGAAAAGTGCCGTAAGTTGGGACTAGGCTCCGGTTTCGGCTATTACAGGTCTAATCGAAACTGAAGCAACGGGTTCCTGTGAAAAATTTGTCGTTTCGTATAGGCAACAGCATTGTTCCAAATAATAATAAAGAAACCTTGGTGATTCTTTATAGATGTGACCTTTCTGATTCGTTTATACTCAGCAGATGAAATGGTTCATAATGTAGCGGATACTCCCATTTCGTCAGTAGTGGTTGACCTAGACCATGAGGAGTTAAGAGGTAGCTAAAGAGCGTGGAAGAGATTTTGTTTACCACAAATCAACACTGATGCAAAATTTGTTCACACTAATAGTTATTTAGCCTGTTTTTGTTCTTTAGGATTTTTTCGAGTCTCTTTGGCAAAGAACCCACCAACTTTGTTATGAAGTCATTTTCTGTATTGTGGTCTATTGCGTAGCTCGCTTTTGCCTCCAAAGTTCAATGTATAGGTAGCACATTTACCTCTCTCTTCAAAACAGAAAATATTTTCAATCACGTTGAGATCCGGACTATTAGGAGGAAGTTGCATGAACTGGACCTTAGAGTCACGCATCTTTTCTTAAGTCCAAAACCAAATAATAGGTAAACCAGACTGCTTAAATAAATAAATTTACTAACCTCTCGTGAAACATGACACAGCTACCTACTATTCAGTTGTGGAAACCGGCGGTTTGAATACGAAAACCTATCGCAAAGGACCATGTGTATTGAATGTAACGATATGATGAAAGTGTTGTGTTGAACCAAGACAAACGATACCGTGTCATTAGAGTGGTTCTACGGTGGCACCGTTCAGACCTTAGAGAACGGTGTTTACCATCAGTGAAGCATTAAACCGAGTGATGATCACTATACTAGTGTTTAAAGCGGAATAGGTACTTCAAGGAATTTTGTGTGTGTCTATATCGTAATTCGTATGGTACATTAAGGAAAAATGAACTCTTTTCCTCTGACCAAGCTTCTTCCTCTGACATGTAAGATTCACCCGATGCAATGCAATGCATCTTATTACCAACAGACTACTCGTTAAATGTTCAGTAGTGCAAATTTTATTCTTAAAAATACTTCGATCGATTTTACGCGCAGACCCTTCGGAAATCTTTACTGATGCGTTTTATTTGTTTGTTCACTTCTTTTCGGGTGGTTTATTCTCCCTTTTTGTTTCTTACCTTGGTACTTGCTGCAGGAAATATGTGGTCTAGCCTGGTCTCCCGATAAGCAGTATTTAGCCTCGGGTGCTAACGACAATTGTGTTGCTGTGTGGCCAGCGAATATCATTTCAGAACGAACCAGTGGCATACAACCTCGCATCACACTGACCGAGCACCAAGCTGCGGTGAAAGCGTTGGCATGGTGCCCCTGGAAACCGAATCTATTGTCTACCGGTGGCGGAACAAACGACCATACGCTGCGGTTCTGGAATGCAAATACAGGAAACTGTGTTAAATCGGTCGATGTGGTCGCTCAGGTCTGTTTCCGTGTCCGCTTCGGCGTACAACTTGTCTTTTTATTCAAGTGAACCAGGATAATGTTCCTGCTGTGCAGATACAATAAACTGTTTATGGCTTTCCGATCTTTTTTGAAAGTCTGTGCTTTATTGTAAAACAGGAATCTGTCGTTTCCGAGTTCTTCAAATTTCATCGTCGATACCCACTTCCTATCATGAACTCGTAATAGGGTTTTTATATTCGTCACCCGAGGGTCTTTTTTTGATAGCCACCAACACTGTTTCGTTTGCCTTGTATAATGACTTTCCCTAATTCTTATTTCCGAAAACGTCAACACGACCTTCATTTTCCTCGTCACGACTGTAGGTTTCCGGTATCATTTGGAATTCAACATATCGGGAAATTCTGACTTCTCACGGTGGTCCGAAGAACCAGTTGGTCATTTGGCGATACCCGGATATCAGTCGTGTGGCCGATCTGATGGGTGAGTAATAAGAGAATGTCTAGAGGTATTGTTACACGTAGTTCCATCTTCACAAGTCCTCTGAATTCGCGACTTGGAGCTCTCTGTATAAATTCGTAGCATTCACTGCAATATTTTTCTGTTGAAATATAAGTAGATGCTTGTGAATTCCCAAAAAAAGTAAAATTACGATGTATTCAATCGCTGCAAAAAAGTAATAGGCGAACCTGATGGGTTTGTGCCCATTCTTCAAGATTGGCGTATTTCTCTCGTGAACTCTTGCTGTTTCACTGCACAATATTCGGTCTGAGCAACATAACCTATCACTCTGAGAGGAATCACTGATCGTCCCTGTTTTCCAGAAGAAATCGCTCTACGACTGTGAAAGCTATCTTGGGATAAGTTTGTTTCCTGCTACAGCTATTGTAATCTGTTATTGTCACTGTACTCTTACTTCTGGACGAGTAATGGTCTGCACGAACTTCAATCCTACAATTCTTCAGCTCTGTTATATGTAACCAGATTAGCCTACGATGAGTTTGCTTTAATCTACATCTGTGAAAGAGTTTTATGGATTGAAGGTGACCAGACTGCGTTGAGTTGCTTTGACGTGGTGTGATTAACCAATAATTTTATATCTCACATGAAACATAGCGATTGCAATAGTAGCAGTCGGTTCCCTTATAGCCTCTGGCTGGTCGCGATTATGCTAAAGCTCACTCATAGGGTTGTATGAGATAAAACGGGTGGAAAACGATGCATCCATCGTACACCATAAACATATCACCCGAGACTGAAAATCCCTAATATTCTTGTACAGTTGCAGTTAGGGAGCGTTAGTCGTTCAAAATGTTTGACCCTTTCCCTTTTCATGAAAATTGTATATTCAGCAAAACAAAGTGAAAATGTCAAATAAAGATTTTACTCTAACCCGAGACGGGCAGGTTTGTGAGTTCAACACACTTTACCACCAGGCTAGCACTGGTGATTGTTTCCGCGTCGACGCTGTATGAAATACAAACAAAGGCTTAATACAAAAGTATCACGAAACAACCTATCTGTCTAAGTGACTGCTGGAGATCTCCTGACCCGCTGAATCAACGGTTATGGGCACTGAGTGATATGGCTAATTGTCGTACATTGTAACATGCGTGCATCAACGCACTTTACTGGTACTTCTCTCATTTACTCTTACGGGTTCCCCATACGGCTGATCGTATGATAGCAATCAAAACAAGTACCAAAATTTCGAGATTGATGGTGGCTCTCCAGATCGAACTTAACGCGCTCGCTTTGTCCACTAAGTGTATATCTGATTTTCTTTTCTTTTATTGAATACACAATGGTACAATTTTCAGGAAGGGGGAAGCGGCCAATCGAAGGGCTGCCATAAAGTCAGGCAGTGGTGGTGAGGTTTGAACACGTCCCCCGAGGTGGTAATTTGGTGACGTTACTACCGTGGTGATAATACTTTTCGCTCTAACTAACCCTAATTGTGATTTTCCCCATGTTTTTCACAATTGATGCACCGATCTCTATTATTCAGTTTCCTCTTCTGGTCTCATTGATGTTTGCGAATTACACAATTAGCAGGGGATTTGGCATCAACGCTGGCTCGTGAGACAAATTTCTGGACCAGAACTTTTTGACTGCATTGTTTCTGAATTCACTATTCTGATCAACGTAATTTTGCAGCGCGGTTTACAGTATGCGATTCTGAAAACGAGTGTATCCAGTCCGCACTTCGTTTATCGCCTTTTATTTTTTATACCAAGTCAAAAACTTCTTCCATACTCGATTTACCTCTACTAACTTTACCTTGTGCATATTAATTCCAGAACACCAGGGTCGTATCCTTTGTGTCTCCGCCTCTCCGAACAACGAGATGGTGGCCAGTTGTGCAGCTGACGAGACTTTACGGATTTGGCACTGTTTCGAGGTGGATCATTCAAAGAAGCGTGCCCAAGAGAAAACCCAGCGTGCCTCGGAATACACTCGAACAATCCGATAATCGGTTAGATGCCTAGGTTGCGGATGGATTTCCGTCGCCCAACCTGCTTCCTCCTTCCACATCTACCAGTTGCATTTATTTTCTGTTCGCATCATGTTTATTGAGAGCTTCCAAGTATTGCATTTCTGTTCCGACGTTTTCCCATTGATAATTTTCTACAACCGTTTTTCTACGTTACGGTTTATTCTCAAGCTAAAACGTTTTATGAATAAATGTCGCAAACTCATATGTAAATGTGTTCTGTCGGTTTCAGATGATCGAGATCTCTCCCTCTGATTTATAAAGCGAAAATGTTTAGTGCTTTAAATTGCTTGCTGAACGGTGGAAAAAGTAAATACGATAGGCACTAAAACCTACCATTCAGCAGTGATGATTAACTACTCACTGAAACTTGTGGGTAACGATCTACACGAGGCCCAAATAAAAAGACTTCCGATCGTGGTTCAACGTTCGGAGGCTAACATGCGTCAGTATCGATACAAATACCGTAATGGAAAAGACAGAATCTTCTCTGTCATGTATAGGTCTAGACAGAAACAGATTACAAGCCAAAACATTCTTCCGAAATTTGTTCCTCACGGGGCACAGTTCTATGCAGTTGAATTTATCGGGTTTGAATTGGTGGGATAGTAAATTTCACAATAAGGTATAAGAACTTCGAGTTAGTCCGTAGGTGTTATTACTTTAACCTCGCCTTACCTCCCAAGGATGACAGGATACCAAGCGAACAGCGACACGAGTACCGATGGGTTTGTAACGGTGTTTGAGCGCAATGCGCGTTTTATGAGTTCTGCGCTTGTGGGCGATTAAAAGGAAGGTTTCTTTCGACGGGAGAAAAAGTAAGCTGAACATGTTGCTATTGCGCAAAACAATGGGCTATCCCTCAGTCGATATATATATATATATATATGATAATGTGACAACCAGCTCACGTCGGGACCGACCAAACCTGTGGAGTAAGGTGCGTTCAATCAGTCTTCGGACAGGCAGCAACAAAGGGTGACGCTGTATCTATCATTTCTTATCTCAAATAAGAGCTTCCATGGCGCTTGAAGGGTTCGCTTAGGATATTTGACAGCAAATTAGGAAACACGTGTCCGCCAGAATGACAACTGCAATGTGAGACAATGAAATTACATATATAAAATGTGCACGGGGCACAGCTGGTTGGTTCGTTTAATCCGAGTTTGTTGGTAGGGAGCTTTGCTCTCGTTGACTTCAATACCATGCCTGTTCTATTTGGGCTTGTTGTGATTCATCAGTTGAGTTCCCAACGACTGAGATAACGATTATACTAACTGAAGATTCGCAACTCTACTTTGCGTAATTAAGAAGGTATAATGTAGATGCACGCCGTCTGAATGGCATTCTTTTCCATGTTAACTTTGTTTTCGATTCAAGTCGTTGCTTCATTCACACAAAATACGGTTCACGCAAACCGTGCATGTACGATTACAAACGAATATCTAGTTAGTGTGTTTCACTGAACAATAAAATGTGATCGTTGGATGGAGAGTTATCCCTAGGGCCTAGTATTCAGTTCAAAGGACTCAAGCATGATGCGTCTGGTGATAGCAAAACTTGAGTCACAGCAACAGAGCTCGAACATTGAGAGCAGGCTAGTGACGGAGACCAAACCATCTCGATGAACACAACAGACCGAATGGGTCCCAAAGCATGGTAGTTATCATCGGGTTTCTCAACACAGATTTCCCTCATCTGACAGTCGAAACAGCCTATTTAAAACAGCTTAAGTGGTATTACATGAGGGCTACGCGTGTTCAACAGTAGAAAAATCACACATTAGAATATAACAAGCGTGCACAAGTACCGTCGCACGTAAACTAAACTGAGCCAACGAACCTCAGATTTAACACAATAGACTGGTATGAAATTGGCAGTTAATTCAAACCCTTCATCTATGATGAGCAAGCAACGATGGGCTTACAGTTGGTTCTTTGGGCAACACTGTGTACCTCTTCTTTCTTCCTTAGGCGGACAATAATCCAAACTAAGGTACAGTCTCAGGGAAAGAAACCAACACATCAAACAGGGGCGGTGGTGGCCAAGTGGTTAGGTCACCAACTAGTGACCTGTGTGTCCCGGGTTCAAACCGCCCACTGCTGCCGTTTTCCCTATATCTGTATTTCCTCAGGCAGCCTTTGTATGACCGCAGCCCCCTTCCTGAAAGTTGACTGTACATTTGCATATTCAATAAATAGAAAAAGGGACTTCAGAACCCTCTGTCTGGTCACTTATTCTTCTATGTAAAATGATACAACCCACGAACTAGAACAAATTCAATTATACACATTGCTTCTCACTGAGAATCGGTGTTTGGTGTCACGGATATTCAGTCGTTCAATATACGTTGATCTGAAATCTGTATTAGAACTTTCACTTCAACTAGTCGGTTCGTGTTGGGAAAACGAAATTAGTTGTCCCTTCTTAATCAAGGCATTCTATGGAAAGGAGTGCTGAAACGCTAAAGTCAATATTTGCAGATCACATGGTCTATTACTTGGTGGAAAATCAAGTTGGGGGAGGGAAAGACAATAGAGAAGTATTATGATAAAAAAATAATACAAGTGGCGTCAGTATAAACCAGACGACAAGATCCGCGAAACATTTCGGTCTCGTCACATATCCAACTAGTCGGTTCGTGTTGGGAAAACGAAATTAGTTGTCCCTTCTTAATCAAGGCATTCTATGGAAAGGAGTGCTGAAACGCTAAAGTCAATATTTGCAGATCACATGGTCTATTACTTGGTGGAAAATCAAGTTGGGGGAGGGAAAGACAATAGAGAAGTATTATGATAAAAAAATAATACAAGTGGCGTCAGTATAAACCAGACGACAAGATCCGCGAAACATTTCGGTCTCGTCACATATCTGTGAAGTATGGCC